TTAAAACTGAGGAGTCCTGTGCAGCTCTCCTGCTGTACATTAACTTGGTGACAGACGGATGAATGTGGCGTGGCGCGCACAGCATGTCACCCTTGGCACCTCGAGCCTGTCTTATTGGTAAGGGAAAACCTGTTGTAATACATAGAGCGCTCAAGAATATGAAGATACAACTGGCCACGTGTCTTGCTGACACTTTAGTTAACAGGAACCACGCAGCTAACAGGAGCTGGTGTTTGGAAATGTATCCCTAAAGCGCTGTGCTCTGTCCCAGCTGAGGCTGCTTGAAGAGGAAGCTGAACCGAATAGCGTAGTTCACTAATTACTGCTGTCGGAACTGACTGCTCCTTCCCTGCTATAAACAAACAAGTAAGTACAGATGATTCTGGGTCATTTTTAGTGATGGTGAGCTAGGGAGCCTCCACAGTGGTCTCTGAGAAATGGCTTTCTCTGATCAGCATCTTGTATGCTCCTCATGCAGTGATCTTGCTTCAGCCACATAGAGCCGGCCATGCTTTTACCCCAATGACAGCAACTTAAACAAGGCTGCTCGCAGCTCTTAAGTAAGACATCACTTCCCTTCCAAGCCAACTGAGACGTGCACAGATGCCACCACTTCCAGTCCCCTCAGAGAGTTAGATGTGCCCTTTTCCCTAGCGCTGCTTGCACCATCGATGGCCCGCTTTCAACTCGGGGCACGTGACTTCACCGACTCGTGTAGGGTTTGCACGCAGGCGTCTGCGACTGTCATGGGGAGTGGGCAGCAGCAGATGCAGAGAAGGAGCGTGTGCCCTCCCAAAGGAGCCCTCTGCTCACCACTTTTCATCTAGCAGGCGCTAACTAACACGAAATCAGCCTGGAAAGCCTTGCAGCTCAGAGGCGGATGACCAAATGCTAATCACGTGGCTGCCAGCAGCTGACATTAGCCAGGGAAAAAGGATCTTAACTGATAGCAACTTCTGTGTCATCACAGAAGAGTTAAGGAAGAGCTCAACTGGGAAAGGGAGACAGAATTAAAAAAAATAAAAAAACCCAGGTAATTTGGCAGTAGCTGTGCCCTACAGGCTGCCTTGGAAAACCCCTGAATTCTGCACGGTGGTGTCTAACCTCAGAGACACTGCCACTATTCTAAGAAAAGCCCTTGCTGAAGCGCAGCCTATTTGCTGTTACTCCTGCTGAGTAAGGCAGGGTTCCCTTGAGTAGCTTACTCCTCCCACAGCCTGCCCCTCTATGCACAGCTCACAAGCAAGGGAATGCTCTCCCCTGACAGAGCAAACCTTTGCCGCAATGGAGAAATGCAGTAATTCAGCACCTGGACAAATTATTTTGGGATTTCTGCACTGTACTGAGGCTGACACATCCCACAACCAAAGGGATGTGTGCTACAAATGCACCAGTTTTCTCTCTTGGGAGTCTGTGTCTTCACTTAGTTTACAGCTTTGCAGTGATCTCAGGGCTGAATTGTAGGGTCATCTAAACAGGTCTAGCTTTGAATCAAAACGTTTAGCTCTTCAACAGCCTTATCTGGCAATGGCAGCAAGACTAGCATTTGGAGCAGTGTCTCTACTTATATACAGAAAGAAGCATTTTTTCCTGAAGTGCCTAATAGCAATGAAGTAACAAATAATGGCAAGCAGCAATATGCACACTCTTTAAGCTGAAAGTAAATTACCAAGCATGCCTTATTTTCTAAAATCAGAACCAGTCCCTTAATTGTATGGGCAAAATTCTTCAGCTGAGTCCCTCCCCTCTGCTATATAAATTTTATGTTCAGCTACATAGCCATGAAACAGGGCTGTTGGAAGAACTACTGCTTACTTACAACCAAAACCACATCGATATGAGTAATCACATCAGCTCTTTTACATATTGGGAGTCTAATGGCTTCTACTTACAGCCTTGCAGCTTGTCTACAATTTTTTCACTAAGCAATACAACTAATTCCCATTTTTTGAAGAAGCAGCTTTAATACCTGTCTGATGCTTCAAAGCTGTGAGACGGTACTTATGACCACACTCAGCAGAACATATTTGCATGCTGCCCAGTCAGCCTGGGAAGGCTCAACTGCAGCCTTTCAGATCCCATTAAGATTGAAAATAAAAACGAAGTTATGTTTCTTAACAGAACTATGCCTTTTTTTTTTTACTCTGACCCAATACTGCTGCTGTCAACAAGGGTGAAAGTGCTTCTGCTGTAACAGTAGGTTTACAGGACTTCTTATGCAGGCATGACTGGTCTGTGGAAGGAGGTAGGACATTTTTCTTTCACCTCCATGAAATAGCATGTCTTCAATGATTGGGAGGTTTCCCAGCGTTTTACACTGGGAGGGTACTTTCCTGCACGATTGCTGCTCATACTAAAAGTTTCGCTGTTATTTTTTCCAGTGGTTAATGGACTTCCTTTATCTTTCCATCCTCTGGAAACCTTCTGTAGATCATCCACTGAAGAATGGATTCACATGACGTCTAAATATTTGACTTGTTTTGATCTCTTGGTCAGCCTGGGAGCCTGTTTCCCACTTTCCCTCTGATCCCAAAGAACAAGATGTTACCAACGGTGATGCCACCAGCCTGACTGCCATTTGTTGCAGTAGAGCCCCTCCAGAAAAACACAGCAATCAGTGATGGCCATGGGAGCTCTGCTACATGACTGCATCTGACTTTTGGCTGCAACAGATGCAAATTTGAAGTCCAATTCCTTAGAACCTGTGGCACATTATACTGAGCTTATATGCTGAAGCATTTGCAGTCTCAGGCCCTCGAACCAAACTGAGTCTTTAGAGCTCATGTGTCTATTTTTCCACTCTGTCCGTTGACAAGCAATCCTAAGAATCTGTCACTAGTAGGCAAAAATAGAAACAGGACAGGAAAAGCTATGGACCTCAAAAGTGTTTCTGGAATTTCAGTGCAGACAAATCTCTCATGATGAGCTTATGAAAGAACTGTCCTTGAAAGTACTATGGAGAACTTTTGGAAGAAAAATCCTGTAAAGTTACAAAACAAAAGCCTATTGCAGTAAACAAGAATTCCTCTGCAGAGGATAGTGATGGTCATTTGAGAAGCTCATGATCTATCAGAACTCGAGTACGCTGATAAGTGGTCAGAAGGGTTAAGAAAATAGTTCAGAGAAAGCTTGAGATTGAAATAGCATTCTCAGAACAATCTACTAAGTGGAAAGATTTCCCCTTTGTGGGTCTCTGACAACATTGATAGACTTCAAGGCAGGCTCCAGCTGTAGAGAACGTAACATAACCTTGGCCTGGCACAGCACACAAGAGAAAACCTCCAAGGTGTGTGATGGTAGATAACATAGAGAGCCGTGGAAACTCTCCAGACAATGGCCAATTCAGTGGAGGCATAAGTCTGCCTTTATTGCATGCTGTAGGAAATGCAAGTTAGAGCCAGAACCGTTGGTCTCTAAGCCACATAAAAAGAATTCAAGTTTAAGTCTAGGAAATTAATAGACAGAAGAGATGCCACATTGGCTCATGCAATTCTATCTTTGACGGTAGCCAGTTGTAGCTGTTTAGGGAAAAAGTATAGGAAATAAAGAGCAGACAAAACCTCCTAATTCAGCTACGGATGGATTGAGTCGCTTCATTTTCAACTGTGAAATAACACGGAGAGTACCGCATCCCACTTGGCCAGGTTGTGACTAGGGGGTGGGGATGGTTACAAATACTTCAGGCCTGTGTACTGTAAGGTTTCCTTCAATGTAAATTAGTCTCCCTTCCTGCATAGGCCATGTGCAACTCAGTCAAAAAGGCTCTACACTAAAATGAAGGGGAGAGAGAAATTATGCCAGCCGTCTGTTACTCAACAGTGAATTTGTGAATGCGGGGAGGAGAGAATTACAAAGCAGCCAGCTACCCCATGGAAATTATGCAACGCTGGGGATAAAGAGAAAACCTGTCTGGGGTATGAACAGATTCAATTTTAGGACTCCGAGGACTGTAACCTAAAACAACTCCAGCATTTCCCACCTACATTTTTAGTGTGAGGAATGACTTTTTCTGTGAGAAACTTGTTTTCTAGGTTCTCCTCGGCTTTTGCCCTGCTAGTGCAGGTACTGAGGAGAGAAGCTGTCGTGGCCCTGAGGGCAGCGCCAGCCCTGACGGTCCCTGCCCAGACCCCCAGGGCTCCCCCCACCCTGCCCACGGCCCAGGACGCCATGTCACAAAACAGAAGTTGGATTTCCCCCGGCCATCTGCTCCATTACTTGCTACCATCCCCACCAACCTGCATGAGTTTTCTTCCACAACTGCCTGTTTGTTGCTAAGAAGACTTGTGCAGAAAACAGTTTGCTTGGGGGAGATGCACCTTACGTATGTGTGCAAGCTGGTCGTTTTGAAATGCTGCAGGCTGAGCAAAATTTCTCCCTGAATGTCAGCCCCTTGCAATGCTTCCCAGCTTAGACAAGCCTTTACATCCTTCTGTCAGTGCCAGCACCGTCTCTGAGATTGCCCTTTTTAGTTCATTTTGATAGTAAACAAAACCAACACGTATGAAAGTTCCCCCAGCATGGAAGACCAGTGCCATGCGAGGCAGCAGGGAACAGCTACAGCAGTTTCGACACGTGCTTTTCCCACCGTTCACAGTAGATGAAGGATGCCCGGGGACAGGCTGCCATCCCACTGCACGTGAGACAAATGTGGCTTTTCATTTTCCTGACGCACTGGTTACCAGAAGTTTTGTTCATTTTGGAAAAAAACAGAGACAAAGAGAAGCAGATGTCTGATAACTCCTTGCATGTGGAGGCTGACTTGAAATGAATAGTGAGAATTAAACAGAATAACTCTTAAGATATCTAGCCTGAGTTAATGATAGCTGATTTTCTTAGTACTCCAGTACTATGATCACAATCCCTCCTCCAGATAAAAGCAACAGAGCTTCATAAGAAAAGACAACTTACCTTTCTTGAACTGCTAGTGCTTTTAGCATTAGGTAGAGGAGATAATTTTCTGGTTGAGATGAAAGACAGAGAGTTGAACAAAGGTTTCTTACCGTTAAGGACAATGCCATGCAAACAAAAGTGAACTTCTTGATATGTGTCGCTGTGACGGTGCTGTTGGTGTTCACCAATTTATTGCTGGGGTTATTCTAGGGTAAGAGAAAGAGATAACGAGCGTTAGCTTGGCTCCAGACTACTGGGAGGCTGACGGCACCACGGTCATGTGTTGGACCTGACTGTCTGTGCCCGTGCATGTCTGCCTTTGCTTGTTTGCTTTTTAACCTAGAGCCTTCTGAGTACTTTGTACCACCACAGAATACCTTCCGCTTAAACTGACAGCAACTGCTCCTATGGTCACTGAGGCCTGTGTAATCATCTCCCTACTTTTCTAAGGAATAAGTCCTATTTAAGAAATTCAGCTTTGAAAAAGGGTGGTAGATCTTTCTAAGGAAACTCCACGTGACTTTTTTTTAACCTTCATTTAAAGTTTGTAGCGTGTTTTCACAGGAAAAATAGGATTTCATTCCCTTTTACCATAGAGTGGTACCAAATCCATACACCAATGCAAGCACCCTTACTGATCCAATTAGACAAGTAGGTAATATAAACAAAGCTCCTGGAACAGCTGGCTCCGTTAATGCAGTTTAATGAACAGAACATAATTAGGACTATTAGATGTTCCACCTTGAACATGGGCTCTGTATTCACATGGCAGCGAAGTTTTACTTAAAACAACAAAAGCCCTATTCCAAATGTCTAATATAGCAAATGAAGCTGAAGATTTAAAATTGCCCTTGGGGAACACATAAAAACAAACTAAATGGTCTGTAACAGGACAGGATGGGATATCAAAAGCAGGGCACCATTAGGAGCCCCGTAGCAATACGCTGTTGGGTCATCTATTGCATTTATCCTGGGGCTGTTTGAGATACACAAGTATGTGTCAATGCTGATAAAACCTGTACCATGAGATGTAGTACAACATTTATTTATCCTTGATGTAACTCAGGTAAAAAGCAGTATCTGTCACACGGTCAGCCTCTTTTACTGGAGTTACTCATAAGAGAAGTAGGAACTTAGGCAAATAGATCTTGGGAGTGGACAAACTGAACATGAACTTTGTGAAGGGCACACCATTTCAAACTCATTCAAGCAGTTGATGGAATTTTGCAATTTAAAGCTTTTGTGGTGATCAGTACAGCGACGGCACCCGGACAGCTCCATGCTCCTCCCTAAATATCTGCTTGGAAGTTTGGGTGCATGAAGATGCACGTAGGCAACCCAGACCCTAAAGCAGGAAGCTACTCCCACATCCGCCCTTTTTGGGAACAGGTTATGAAAACTCTCTGTAAGCATTTTTTTCATGCATCTATTCTTAACTCTTGTGTTTCTGAAGAAATACTTCGTTACTGTTAGTTTTTATGTATGTGAGGATAGGCCTTGCTTACATCACTCACCAGTGTTCAAATGAACTCTGCTGCAACTTTCTAACAAGGCTAAAATAACAGAGAGGAAGGAAAGCACACCCAAAAGGACTGTGAAGAAAAAGGGCTCTCGTTTGTTCCTACCTCGCTGCTGCTAACTCTGCCCTTGCTCTATTCCACCCTTTGCTCTAACTCTTGACCACGTCTTGAGTATCCATTCCCACCTATTAATCAGATAAATACTGTTCACAAGTACTCTCACAGTTGGTGGTGTTGCTCTGAATCAGATGGCACAGTCCACTGAGAGTAACAGCATTATCACCATATAAAACAGCAAAGAGAGCACAGAACTAGGATATGCCTGGTTTTTTTTCAGAAAATCAGTAGTAACCCTTAACCTGAGTATAGCTGCTAGGCCATGAGGTTGCTCTGGACACAGTCTTATAAAAGACTGAAGCAGGACCCTGCACCTCTCTTACATATGTGGACAGAGACAACAATTTCCCTGAAGAGACAAGAATCTGACTTCTCCATTAGAGCCACTGAAGAGGGGCCTACTATCTGGATCCCAAATCCCATCAGTCAGTTAAGGCAATGCAGCGTGCTTCTGATGACCATCAGCATTGCCAGCTTTCTGAGTAACTGACAAAAGAAAATGAGAGTTTGCATACATGCAAACTGTTTCAGCATCTGAAAATTACAACGGAGGCTTTATAGAGTCCGGAAATAAAAAGTGCTTCTATCCAGACTCTTCTGAGAAAGCCTCAGCTTAAGGAAACAAAGCTTTCGAAAGGCACAGCGACATGCGAATGACGTGTAACCAAGGGTAAACCAATTCTCACAGCAACCTAAAAAAACCCACTGTGGGTTTCTGGTTTGGTATTTATTGTCTGAAAGGTACAGTGGAGGCATTTGCACACATGCTTGCCAGGATGAGATACCCTTTATACTGCTGCTACCTCACTTAGCACATTTTATGCCAAATTGCTCTTAAAACATGCAACTAAAATCCCCATTATATTCTTTTTCGGCAATTAGATAAACTGAATCTATCTGTGCCTTACCCTAGCTTTTTCTTCCTCACATTTGTTCCACAAGAGCTCTATGAGAAGAAGCCTTTCAACTGAAATAATAAACAGACAAATCATGGTCTAATCCTGTCACCACTAAAGTTGTCAGCACATCTTCCACCAGCTAAATGAGACCTGAATTTAGGAGTCGTAATTGCAGTTAATTTTGCTTGGCAATAGTGCATTTTATTGTTGCTCATAACAGATGAGGTTAGCAGCCTCTGTGTTTGTTTCCTGTCCCAAATCATTTTTATCTTGCAGTTTATTGGTTTTGCATCTGCAGGTCCTTTTCAGCAGCATGACCTCCGAGAAAGCCTTCATGTTGTATTTTATCTGACAGGTCAATTTAGCTGTACACAGGCAAGTTAGGAAGTTATGACTGATTTGACTTTCCCTTATTTTGTTTTTAAATTCTCCTTGAAAATATGGTGGATCATATCAAACAGGGCTTGCTTCAGTTAATTACATCCCAGAGCAAGGAAAGATTTTTTTCATCAGTATTTGGAACCACAAAGTTCAGTTACTAATTGGTAAATAAAGGGAAGGAGAGGATCTGGCATTTGAATTAGTGTCACAGGACATGACTGTTCTTCGCACAACATACGGGCTACTGAGTACCAGTTCTAAAACAGAGCAAAAAAAGAGTCTAAACAAAATTAATGTTGGTTATATATTTACTCTGTGCTCAGTTCCAGGAGTAGTCCTTGCATTCTTACATAATTATGTGATTTGCCAACAAAAATCTTCAGTCTTGGTCGGCTAAGTCAGTACTACTAAAATAATGTGTTATTTGTGTTACTGTCAGTCTATGAAACAACCTTTGCTAAATATTGACATAAGCAAATGAACCCAAATCCATTTGAGACATACCACAGAATCTGGAGCAGACGTGAGCTTGCTCACTCACTGATGGACACTTTGTGAGAAATCACTTCATTGGCCAAGTAGCTACATCATAGTAAGTAAGTGAGGCTTTTTTTAATCCTTAAAAATACAGCACCTATCTATTCAAAAGGTCGCTTAATACCTTGTAACACAGAGCTAAGGTTAAAATCATAAATCAGACAACAGCTTGAAGCCACCAAACCCCATTCATTTTAACTAGGATTTTAAGAAAACCTTATCAGTGGGACAAGGAACAATAGGCATCAAAGCAAAAGTAAAAAGAAGTGAGACAACAGACAGCCATTAATACATCCCTGTTTAATCTCTGGCTCATTTATTTTTTAAAGAATCTGTTACACTTGATTATGGACCCATGAACTAACTTTCTTCATATTTGTTTGGCAGAAACCGAAGCCATCCCTAAATTAAAATGTAACAGAGAGAAAGAGGAAGACCATGCATGGGAAACCACACGAAAGGTATTTATTACAGCCATAACATGGGCACTCACCTTGTCAAAAGCAGGGTACACTGCCCTGATCTCTGTCAGCCAGCCATACGGCATGTGTCCCACAGGATAGGTAGCTGTCAGAATCGCCACCGCCTATGGAAAGAGACAGGGAAATGTGAACTTCAAATCTTTGAACAGAACAGTTAAACTAACTTAGGGTGCCATTTTCCACCACACTGAATTTGACACAGTGAAAAACCAGGCAGGCAACTGGAAGCTGGTTGTTTCAGGAAGACCGTCAGAGTAGCCATCATTTGGCCCGGCCTTTTAAGCTTACGAAATCTTTCGTGGCATGAAGCTACATTACTCAGCTTTGTTGTTTCACCATCACTCTGATACTTTGGGACAATAGTTAACTCGAGCTGGTTAGTAATAGTTAGTAATAGTTAACGAGCTCCCTCCCACACTACTCCTGAGTTATTTTGCCTGCAGATACCTGAGTAGCAGAATGCCTTACAGCTCACAGTAGCTTTGGATCATATTTCATAATTTTAATTTATATACTTTTTAATTGGTTATTTGTAAGTAAAACAGTTTTAAGACAGACAAGACAGACCACAAAACAGTAGGCCTCAGTGGCTGACTGACTTTGGACATCAAACTGACTGCTCTGGGGCAGGAGGCACTTACATGACAAAAAAACCCAACAACCTCTCCCCACGTCGGTGCTCATCAACAAAAACCAGACAAAAATAATTCCAGGTGACCATTTTTATCACAAGAAACAACTCACTGCCTGCATTTTAAAACTAGGCCCTTTTGCACTTTCACAAGTACAGTCCAAGAGGTACATCAAAGCGTAACAACCCCCCCTACATATTAATGTATGAAAGATTTTGTTGAGGTTTCTGATTTCTGAAGAGAAAGTCCAAATACAAGTACTTCATGTCTTTCACGTAGGAAAGGTGTTTAGGGAGCTCTTCCTGCAGCTGCCTGGAAATCTACTGTCACCCCAAGTTTTCTAGTCCTCAGAGCTGAAGTGTGGATCTGTACTGACAACTGCCCGAATCTCTTAATTCCAGAAGTCAAAGTGTTTGACTGCTTTTCGTCTGCAGATTCAGATCTGTTAAAATCTGCCTAAATCCAGATTCATTTTACATCTGGCAATGGTAGCGTTAAGAAAGACGTTTTTTAACTACTGCTGTCTCTGTTTCACTCCTAAACTTTCGATGCACCTTTTCTTGGTTATCTGAGCCCATTTTCCCATTATAAATGTAATTGCTGTCCTTGCTTGGTTAAAAGATCTATACAAACAAGTGGGACAAAACAGCAAGCTAATTTGTTCTAAAAAGAGGGGGGAAAGTAGTGATATCCACAGACAAGAAGAGAGTGGGACAGATTTTTCCCTGATAATAATAGCTTTAACAATGTTTAATGTCCCTTGAAAAAGTAATTAGTTCAAAGAAAACAAATTGGAATTCTAAGACAGTACCTTTTTTAATTTCACCCCCACATTATTGTATTTTCAGCAGAATTTCCATCTGTATGAAACCTAACTAGATTAAATCAAATAAGGAATATAAAAGATATTTTGCTTATTTTCACGATGAAGTCCAAAAAGACTGCAAAGACACAGTAACTGTTAAAGAAAACAATATTTCACTACCACATTTTGTATGCTCAATTCCACTTGGATTAAATTATTGAAGTTTTTAGCAGTGATTTTTCTTCCAGTATTTTCCTCAATTGGTAGGATGCCAAAATATGTGCACGAAAGCTTTCTTAAATGTCTAGAACCTGTATTTCACAGGTGAAAAAGTCCCCCATCAAAGCCAACACCAAAAAAGATACCCCAATCACTGTAACTGTGCTGGCAGTCCAAACAGAAGCAGTGGGAGTTGGCCAATGCAAGTGGACTCGTCCTCATGAACGTGCTACAGCCTAGCCCTTCACAGGGACATCCTGCACACCCTGAAAATTGCTGGTATTATTGAACAGGGGACCTGTAAAACTGTTGTGTATACTGATGCTCCAGACACTGATGCTACCTGTGTTGCCAGCACCTCCCTTTTCAGAGGCAATTATTTCAGGAATCAGAGAAAGTTGAAATGTGATCACTACTGTTAGCGGAAAAAGGCCAGCAAACCACCAGCTATGACACTTATTTGGAGTCATCCTAATAGCAACGAAATGCAATTGGCTAGCTGTGCAATGTGATGCATCTCAAATCAAAAGTCACCAAGAAATGCAAAACTGATCTCTGCTAACCTGCCCTCACTCCCCTTGTACTGAGACTGCTATTAACGCATAGACTGATCCCTGATTTACACATGTAAAAGCTTTAATGTTTCCCAAATTCTCTCTCCACAGCTGTTTATCTGCAGTCACTGGCAACTCCTGAGCAAGTGAAATACACGGTATCACGTATGACAGATTACCAATGCTGACAGAATGTTCATCAGGCATCAGCTGTTTGAATTTTCCTTTCCATTTAGTATCTTACAGCTTTGTTTTTCCTATAGAAAAACTATGAGAGATTTGCTAATGACTACGTGGATCTAGACATCCTCCCACCGAAACTGGCAACAAAGGTCTCCCAGACTTCTTAAGAGAACAGGTCAGCTCATGGTGAGCGTTGCTGAAGGCTCTGTATTACAGTCAGAAGGCTGGCTCCCATCAGCTGTAGGAGACTATTGGAGTAATCTGAAATTCCTCAAGGGAAACGGGGTGCATTTCACATCCCAACCAGGAGACAGATTTTTTTTACGTGCTTCCTTATGTCTCTACCCTGTTCTGTGTGATGCACTGACTGCTAACAGCAGTTCCACATCAGTTTGCACAGCTGCATATATACATGACAGAAAACAGCGGAACATGGGACTACTGACGACTGTCCTAAAATCTCTGGGAGCTGAATGCTCCACACCATATGTACCTACAGGTAGAGCATGAAAACCTGGGATGCGGGAACTGTTCAGTGAAAAAATTCTACCGGACTTGTTGAGGGTGAGCTCCCACCAGGCCTGGCAGGAATGCTCATAGTAAGAGTCCAAGCAGTCTTGTTTTCAAGGATAAAGACAGCACTGAGCAGAAATGCACTTAAGACAATTTTTTCTTGTCAGCATGGCTGAGAAGAGAAACACACAGGTAACTCCATGTGAATCATTGTTTGCAGTAACGGAGAGCACTGATGTTCTTACCTCTGTGGCTGTAGAACTGCCACCTAGGTCCCGGGAAACAAAAAGGTTGACAATGGGCCTACTTATTCGCTGCGTTGCCAAAATTAACGCCAAAGGCCACCAGAAACTCAGCATCTTCCTTATTGTAGCCTCTCCCTGCAACACATAGGAAAAAATAATAAAAAAAAAGAAGTGGGTTTGGAAAAAAACATTCAGGACTGAACCAAAAGCACAGAGAAAGGATTTTTGCTTTTCCCACCCATTGTCAGTTTGGTACATTCATTTCAATAGTTTTCAATATGAGGAGCCTAAAATATTTTCACTCATGTTAGTAATACTGATTCAAAAGAAGCTGTGTCATGGATCTCAATAAATAATGCATAAAGTATCTATCTGCATAATTTCTTCTGGCTACCAGACAAAGATATGTGAAAACCAGTATGACATTTGAGGAAAAAGAGGAATTTTGTGACCTTCTTCCCTGTGAAATAAGGTGTCCACTTACTTCATGCTGTGCTGTCTTACAGCTCAGTACAGAGGTGCTCAGTAGACAGCACATCCATACCACAGGAAGCATTGACTCATGTGCGCTGTTGCTGGAATAGTTTCTACCCTGCCTCTTTAAATGAAAATGTTTTATCCTGCAGAACGGAGAGAGGCGGCCCTTCATGCACAGTGGTTTAATACAGTATTATAACACAAAAACCAAGTTTAAAATTACTGCATTCAAAAAAGCACCAAGTATTAAGAAAGACATACCCCCATTTCAGGCCCACTTCTGTCAGGAATGACGTCATGTATGTTCCTGTAGTATCCGAGGCATAACGTGGTACATCGGACAAGTGCTCCCATGTATAAGGACAAGATTGGGATCAAGAGAGGCTCCCTGCACTCCAAGTGACTGTGAAGCAAAATGGCTACAAAAACAACCTACAGGGCAAACAAATAAATTACCAGTAATTCGTCTGTGTGTTTCTTTAGGGCCAACATATCTCCTGTCTGACTCCAAGCTAGTCCATCTGAACCGACAACCATGCATGACTACAGTTTCTATCTGACTTCGAGCTTGTGGCATTTGAAACTTTAGTCAGGACCCCCCCTGCATTCGGTCATAAAAATGAGAAACACAAGAGTTAACATCACACAGAAGCTCTATTAAACAGTACCTGAAGGTATGCGCAGGTGTCAGACTAGGAGCCATAAATAGGAGGAGGTTAGCATAAAAGTCTGGCAAGGTCTGGCAGCAAGCATGTGGCTGAGTGTCACCCTTCCCAGGAGAATGTGCTATTCTGATACGCACTGAAGTGGAGACATGCTTCTAGGGTCAGCTTCTAAGCCCTATTTTTTAAAATTTTTTTTGGGGGGGAAGGGGGACAGTGGCAATTAAAAAGCCAGATGTTTTAAAGTATTCACTTCAGCATTTAGAAGCAGGAAGTCTTATGTCATCCTAATTTTCTACTTTTTTGAGTTAAAATTTCAGTATTTCATCATTCTCTCTTCAGCTGAGTGCCACATTGATGTAAATGAAACGGAAACTTTTGGGCTAATGAACAGTTCAAAATTCAGTCTCGTAAGATTAAATGCTCAATCCAGAAAATGCAAAGGAATTGATTAATATGATGTTATTCTCTTCATTAAGTACAGAGCTAATGGTGTGCCTATTAAATTCCAAGGTGTAGAGAGTTCTGGAGAGTCACAACTTTTTGTCTTCTGGATTTGCTCTTGCTCTGTGCAATATTTTGCTGAGAGAAGATGACAGGTGTCTTATTCTTCATAACCCTGGCACCCCACTCACCAACCATTGTGGAAAGGGCATGTGTACCATGGCCAAAATAAGAATTTGTTTCTGTATTTAGCTGTATGTGAACACACATGCATCTAGGGTCAGCAAACTTTGTAGGTCACATCAGAACAAGAGCAGATACTGAGGGTTAAGGTCATTTACAGTAACTGGTTTTGTCTTCAGGGATTTAGTGAAGTACTGTAGAGGGGCAGACGTGCCAAACACAGAACAGCAGCTGACTGAATGGTTCAACCTGATTTATGGTTTGCTCATATTTAGTAGGAGGAAAATTCTATGGAAAATTGAACTAGGTGCTGTTGACTTCCTAATTCTTTTGATGTTGTACTGTTGTTTTCCTCTTTCTTACCCAGTCCTTACACCATTCAGCTGCTAATGGGGCAATACAGCAACTGTTTTACAGGTGCTGGGACTCTCCATTTCGTAATATTTTTATATATGCTTTAAAAAGAGGGCTGTATATTGGTTTTCAAATGCTACAACACTGGTCATCAGCAATGTGTACGAATGTTGTTTTTAAGTGTGTCTACTACAAAGCAACAGGATAGTTAACACCACCCTCACAAATGAAAGTTCAAACATCATTTGTCTTCTCTGCATCACCCAGGGGCTATCACCACAGACGCCTTCTGCTGCACTTGTGAGCCTTCACCTTCTGGACCAGTGACAAGAACAGTGCCATCCTGGCATTCGGAAGATGGCTTACACGACTGCGTTTCACTGCATTAGACAACATGTGCAAAACTGACAGGCGAACTGGAGAATCAAGCTTTCACTTCCCCACCTACAAGCCCCACTCAGGATTTCAGCGCAAGTGTGCGAAGCGTGGGGAGAATGTACGGGCGGGGGAGAAAGGTCTCTTTCAAAGCACTCTGTCAGCCTCAGGATTGGTAGCAGCCATCAGTCTCTTTGCCTGACCTTTCTTTTTCCCAGATGTACACACGTATATATAACTTGTTTCTCAGCCATTCAGAAAACAGGGTTGTGGAGGTGCTGGAAGACATGGCCCTAGCCCAAACAACCCTGCTTCCCTTCTCCTGACATTGGTTTGGGACTGACTTGATCCACTCTGGTGAGACCAACCTAAACCTCAGCTGTCAGTGAACAGCCTCCACGCGATGGGGAAACAGCCAGAGAACAGCACACAAGATTATTTCCTCTGGTGTGTTGTTCACGGTAGAGAGGGAAGGGTGCCTCCGTGCAAAAGAGCTCCTGCTTAGGAAAGCATTTAGTCTGTAACACAACAGAAACAGTGACTGCTAAGAGGAGTCACTACCTGAGCTATGACATCTGAGATGGAGGCACATCCCACCAGGAAACTGTATTTGTGTTTCAGCAGAATCCCAGCATGGGTCCATGCCTGAAAAAAAAAGGCAGAGAAGAGTTGGGGAAGTGATTATGATATTTGTGAATGATTTCAGGTCCCAGAATGCTGTTTTCTGGTTGTTACATTGCACACAAACAACTTGTAAAGCTCTTTTCCACCAGCAGTACCTAGTGTGAACCCGGGCAAATGTTAAGCCAGTAATGCAGAGAAAGCACTGCTGCGTTCAGTTCCTCACTGCCAGGGCTGACAGGGAGAATGCGCCTAATTTTATAGACTGTATAGAAATTTCTGAACAGATCTACTAAGAAACTGCCCCTTCTTTATAAAACAGATGCCGCACCAGATGGATTATCATACTAAATCCGAGGGAAAAAATGTTTATTCTCGTTCACCAGCCGGATGCACCTCTGAAGTGTAATATCCATTGGCCCACTGAGTTATACTGAGTCCTGTCTGGAAAAGAAAACTTAATGATCCAACTTCTTTTTATTGTCAGCTACTGTTTCAAGCAGACAAAGTGGTAGAGCAAGTGGTGGAGGCATGCCATGAGAAGGTTATCCTTTACCAGTTTTACACAGAAGTAGAGGCATTAAAGAGAGCTGCCATATTTTATGTCGTGCAGGCCCCAAGCAGTAAGCCTGGTGATCTGGGAAGCAGCAGCCCACCCCATGTGTGGCTCTCTCACCCAAGCATTTGAGACTTAGCTGTGCTTGCAAAAATTGGCAGTAAGAAGTATCTTTTCAACAAATTTGCTCTGAGAAAATATCAAGCTTATTCCTTGTGAGCTCTGCAAGTGACCTGGGAATGCATGGCAAATCCAACACTTTCACTACAAACTGGAATGAGAGGACACATACAGGCAACCGGTGCGGCTCATCACAAGATGACCAGTGCTTTCCAGCATGCACATACAGTAACTCTTACAAGGCAGCTGAGGTTTTTTTACATTTGTTGTGATCTCTGGATGTTCAAAGTCCACCCAGATGCTTTTTCCAGGTAGCAGGAGATGATGTGTCCAGATACATCCAGAGCTACTGCTTGCAAAGGACACACCTTCCTTCTGCACACCTCCAGTTTCCCATCAGGTAACAGACTTTGTGAACTAAGGTCACCAAAGAAAAAAAAATAACATTAATATTAAAATTCAGTTTTGAATCAGGCACTCACCATGGCATCCATAAAAGGGAAGGCAGCAAGATAAAGGAAGGCCCTCCGAGTTTTACTTCCCACTGATTCATCCACATGGTGCAGCTTATTAATAATGTAATACCCCAAATCGCTATATGCTGTAGAGACACAAGAACAGGAGGGAATAATAAAGGTTACATATGGACCCTGGGTGAGATACTCAGAAGTACCTGAAAGACTCTGACGCCTAGGAGCTCAGACATGCATCCACTTAGCAAACAGCTGCAGGGGCTTCAGGATATTACAGCCTCGCCAGCTGCTGTTTATGACTAAGGAGTGCTCTCATGGTTCTCTTTCAAGTAACCTTTGGCAGAGGAGTGATAACAAATGGCTGTGTTGGGAGATGGGTATAGCAAGTGCCACATCTGTTGGCTAAATGAACACAACTGGTACTCCAGAAAATCTACTGCTCTTTCATCAACTCAAGGCTCTTTGTTAGAAAAGCTGTTTTTACCAGGCATTGTGTATTTCATGGGATGTAGTACCTTATAAATGCTGAAACCATCTATTGTCACCGCATTCTCATGATGTTACCTGTAAACCTGCCCAAAGCTATAAACGGATATTATGAATTGTGAAGCTACGCAACAGATCGCTCTCATTATGCCTCTCCCTTACCCTGCCTGACGATCACCTCATTGCTGGGACCCGTCAGGGTGCCGTGCCCTTTGCTGTGCAGTCTGGGCAGCCTCGACCAGCCTCAGCTTCCTTCCTTATCTAGAGCCGGCACCTCAGGAGCCACAAGTCAGAGAAGGGCACCGCTGGAAATCAGGGGGTTGCCACTTCTGATCGCCAGTATGTTATTTCACCGTCCCGCTTCAGCCCGACACGAGAATTTTTAAGTATTGGGCAACACGCCTCTTGCCAGGTCTCTCTTCCTGAGGCGCTGGGTTGAAGACAGCGCAGATGCAGGGACTCACCGCACAGCTCTCTAAAGAACTGCTTACGTCTCTGTCAGTACCCGCGTTATCCAGCTGTTTTAAAAACCTGAGAGTCCTCCTCATGACCAGGAATAATGAAAAGCTAGCTATGCCTGGAGTCTCTGAACTATGGGGTCTTACATAATATGCACAGTTAAATAATCCAAATAGTTTTTAACCTTTTATAAACAATGTTCTAGACCTGCATATTATTACTTAGTTTCCTCTATACACTTGTAATAGCTGCTAAAAGAATGATTAGGTTGTAAAGTCAACCTCCCAACACAAGTAATGGCAGAATTACTTATGCCTGGGGAATCGTACCTCAGTTCTCTTCCACTTGTGTCTTTTCTAAGGTAATTATCTCAAATGTGAACATCTATCTGATTTTCCATTTATAACAACTCTATTATCATTGTACAGACCTTCAAATAGGGTATTTCAGGAAAGTTACCCTTTTCATGCATGCAGGTCACATAATCAGATTGACAAATGTTAACACTAGTCATCCAATTCAGTCTTTTTAGCCTAAAACTCTCTCTCATAACTCAAAAACAGTGTTTAGAAGCAATTAAAGAGGAGTTTAAGTCATCATTGTTTTGTGATGGCTTAGGGATACAGCAGTTAAACAGTTAACAGGACTGAAAAGACTTTTTCAGTCCAAGCAAGACTGTCGGGAAAAGCGGCCGGAGTCAAGAATCACACTCAATATGAGTTAACATCTTGCTCCTTTACTGTTCAGACGTCTTGACATTTATACAAGACTGACTTGTCCACGCGCCTTATACAATGCTCTAATTGGTACAATACCCCGTTTCACGCGACACTATCTTATTCTCTATTGGCTGCGCAAGCTTCTTCATGAGGTGTCCAGCAGTTACTTATCTCATTCTTCAGCATCCAGGTGTTGTTTGTCAAGCTCTTCTTATCTTCCTTTTTCCCAGCGTACAAGGACACAGCGTCCTTGTCCGCTTCAGCACTTTGTAAACTTATGCTTCGTTCCCAGCTAAAGGCTGGATTGCTCACATGCCTTTGCCCAGCCAAGAAATCCTCAACACAAGACGGTGTAAACAAGGTAGTAAAATAGAAGGAGGTGGTATGACAGCATTGGGAGCAGGCACAAGCCTCATTCCAGATAACCAGGACTGCCCAAAAGATGCTAAAATGTTAAAAACACCCCCTTTCCCTATGCTGGTCCCTACCTATATGTCTTGCATCTGAACTACAACTGTTAGACTCGCAGTTTTCCAGTTCACCCACTAATCCCCAGGTTGCTTGGCTGTCCTCCCGAGGCCTTGTTTCCTTTTCAGGGGGGTTGGGGAAGAACTTTAAAGCAGTTTCCTCAGTTCAGGGAGGCCAATTTAGTTGTTTAAGTGTTTATGTGCTTGTTGCAGTCCAGTCACACATCAAGCACTGCCTTTTTTTATTTTTGCATGAATACCGATAAACCAATTTTTGCTCCGTATTTTGAAAACTCTCTTACACATGGATTTTTGCATGGTAAGTCCTTGTGGAAAGCTGCTTTTACGGCAGGGCAGTATACGGATGTTTCTGAATCGACTTATTTGAATGAAGGAGAAGAAGTTTGGAAGGCACGTGAGGCAAGGCGCCTGTGAGGGTCAGATTCATCAAGCTGTCTCTCAGGTTCCGCTGAAGCTGCCTTATGCTTCTCCTGCACAGAAACTTAAAAACTGCTGCAGGAAACACACCCCCTTATTCCCCACATGGGGACTGACAGAATCAGAGTCCAGGTGCTGAGGAACCCGCTTCTGTGGGGGGACCTTCCCCAGCAGTGCAGGGCTGGGAAGACACCAGGCCGCAGGCATCACCCTCCGTGCTCTCCATGCGCTTCGCCTGCTTTAAATGAGACTTTTAAAGTGTTTAGAAAGTGAGTAATAAGGTATGGTTTTGGCTCTAAAAGCCATTGAGATGTTTACTTTTTTTTTTTTTTTTTTAAGTTTACTATCACAGAAAAATTCACAGAATCAGAGGAGTGAGAGGCTGAACTACTCTCACTTCTAGGAACAGACAGCTCACCACCGGGTTGTAGTTTATTGGCGGGGCACTCTCAGGGGACTTACACCACCACAGCCCACAGCACCACATTTTTAAGATTTCCAGGGATATCAACACTGTGCTCTGTAAGCTTTGAGATTGTTTTTTCTCTCCCCCATCCAAAAAAAGGTCTAACTGCACTTTTTAATGTGATTCTGATTTTAAAATCATAATGGCTAAGCTTAAAAGCTGTTTTCAAATAGTCAACTATTCTACATGTCAGTGAAAGCACACAATCACTTTTGCTGATGTCCATGAATGTTTCCATGTTGTGGAAGGTGGCAAAGCTGAGCTACAGGAGCACGCAGATCACACCTGAATGAGGCGTGAACAGCACGTGGCAATAATGCAGTAAGATTGTGAGATTATAATAGCACAGGAATGTATATAAATTATAGAGGCTGTTAATAGGTTTTGGAGGGCTTTAAGGATTTTGTTTAGCTGCTTAAAAGTAGTCCTTCAGGATAAGGCAGAACCATAGCTTGCTTAATGCTTTTGCTCCGTGTTGACCTGTTCTCTGATTGGAGGAATAAGAAGATTCGGAAACCACCAGAGCCAGTTTGAGCCAGAAAAGAGAAATGGTAACAACTAGCCTAAGAAACAGGAAAGAGAAAGAACCTGCCTAGAGATGAGAAAAAGGACCCAGTGAGAGACAAGATGACCCCAGACCCCTGTGAGGGACAGGAATTTAGACTGCAAGGGTAGAATTGCCCAGGGATTTTAGTGTTTGGGGTCCCTCTAGGGAGACCCCCAGCTTGAGCTGTCTAAATTTGTGCACCATAGACAGAATAAATGATGCTTTTTATTTTGAAGGCCTTGATGAGAGATTCTGCGTCAGGGAACCCAGGGTTGAACCTGAGGGAAGAAGGGCCCGAGGTCGAGCGTGTGTGGGTGAGGAGTGGGAAGGGTCACCCGTGCGCTCGCTGGAGTCGCCCGCTGCGAAGGGACTGCGGTCCAAGTGGATAAAGTCTCGGGTGGTGCGTGTGCGCGGCTCCTTCATCGGTGCGTGAATGCTCGGGCAGCAGCTTCGCCCTTAACATCCATCGTCGGAAAGAAGGATGGGGAGAGCTGAGATTCACTGATGAACAGACAGGCATGTGTTTCTGAGCTGCGAATAAAGCAATTGCTGATGCAATTAGAACTTAACCTTGGCCAACCTTACAAACTTGTTATGAAGCGTGGTACAAAATTCGTAACACAGACAACAGCTGAAGAGTATTACATGAATCTAAAGCAGATGGCTCTTCCCATTCCTTGCATCATTTCAACCAAAACAGAGAAGTCCAACTCCAAGACAAGCTGCCTGTTTGCTCTCCTCTAATACCTCATTTATTTTGATATGTCTATGGATTAGAGTTGCTAAAGAATTTAAGCAGGAATTCTTGCTTTTGGCTTTTCCAGTTGAGTTTTAAGACCCAGAAGCTTAAGAAATTACACCAAAACCCACACACCTAATTGGATCTTCTCATCCCTACACCGATTTCTCTAGCAAGCCGATTACTACCACATAAACTTCAGACCTTCTTAAAACAACTGAACACACTCTTAATGATGCCAGCAGTCTCAAACAAATAGCTGCACCGTAATCATTTTGGAGCTGTCTACTACCCAGCATGTTATACTTACATCATAAAGAAAACAAAAAGAAACCCTCATAGGAAATGATACCATTTACTTCCAGACACAGAGCTACATAGGTCAATATTAGCTTTACTGGAGGAAAAAACAATCCAAAAACATTTTTGGGTTAACGTGTGTTCTTTTTAGATGCATTCCATTTTCATACTTCGCTGCCAGTTTTAAAAATGAACTTGGAGACTTGAGAAGTAAAAATCTATTCTGCTGCTTGTCAGAAAGATGGCTTACATGGCCAAAACTGGTGCTGGTCAAGAGTTTGTTCAGCTAAGTGATTTTGGCAGATAGGAAAATGCCAAGGTGAAAAACAAATAATTGAGTGACAAATCTTCATTTGGAGATGGCACAGGGTACATAGATTTCTTTATGTCTTGGATTAGCCTGACTTAACGCAGAAGCAAAGCCTGCGTCCCCCTTGTGAAAGCCCAGATGATCATAGTGTTTTAGGCTTTGTGATTTTTTTTACTTATAGTAATAAATGAATTTAAAAAAAAAAAGAGCTTAGGAGCATCTCAGTGCAGACTGATTACTGCAATCATCTTTTTCTGTGCTCAGCTCTAGTTTCAAAATTGCATTAGTTCATTTTCCCAAATCTATCAATGACCGTTGGTCTCTGAAATATCTTTAGGTAGGCCAACATCTCGTAAGTTTCAAAATTAGCCTGTTTTAACTAAAACCCAATTGTTGCTATCCTAAAATCCACAAATGCTTTAGTCATAGGCTTTCTTCCTTCCTCCTTTGCCCTGGATACCTTCCTGATAAGAAACTGCCCTGTTGTGGGAGAAGGGTTGGAGAAGCATGTTAGTGCTTTACCAATGGCCATCTGAAGATGATGAAGCAGGACATGTTTTTAATGAATAACATTTTTATCATCTTTTAGAAAGAAAAAAAAAAAAAAGCAAGCCTGGATTATATTCTGATTTGTGTTCCTGTGCTATCATCTTTTTCCAGGGCAAAATGTTTAGATAAGGCAGTACAGTGGGCATGTCAGAACAAGACTGACTGGAAAAAATAGCTCACGTTTTCATAAGCCACTCTCCTAGAGTCTAAAAAATTCCAGCAGTGTTACACTGGAAGTGGTGGGATTACACCTATGTCTCGCTTCTTATGTAGATCTTTCATGATGCAGTGACCATGCATGCGTCAAAAAGACTCAGTGGAATTATTAGCAACCGCTACAGTTTTCTGCAGTGCAATCCACGCAGGGAGTGGCCCATGCATGCTAACCTGTCAGTAATAAATTGGCACAAAACAAATCACTTGCATGTCTTGACCATCCTATAGGTTTTCCTGGTTACTAAAGTTCCAAACTTTTTTCCTGGCGATGACAAACGATCCACCATGTAGTTTTTAATCAGGTGTAGTGGGCACCAGTTAAGGATGTCTACTTAAGCAAAGAGGATGTTTCCCCAAAGTAACTTCTGCCTTGTCATTTCCAGAACCTCAGAGAGCTGTGGAAAGTAATATTAATATGCAAAAGAAGATAAACTTTCTCATTATACTATTTCTCCATAAACTAGTGAAGGGCTGAACAATGCTGTTTTATTGCCAAAGAAAATGTGCATGTCTTTCATGACTCTGGCGACAAAAGGACTCACTTAGCATGGAGGGCTTACCAGCAACACCTTGAAATGCATTGTGTTAGCATAGTGTTATAGAAATGATTCTTCTCCTCTGCCAAGCTGGCAATTTAGTAAGATGTCAAAAATATGCACAGACAGGCTTAGCGTCTTGAATCCCTTCCCTTACAGCCCAATATTCCCACCAAAAGCCAATCTCTGAAATAACAAGATGCTTTAGACCCTGGCTACATAGCGAACTTCTCACCAGGAAACCCTAACCGGTGGTAGTAGCTGCCCCCAAAATAGCACAACGGAAGGAAGGCAGCATACTATCTTCTATTTCCAGATCGCAACTGAAACAGCAAATCCAGGAATACTGTACTGACCGAGGTTTGCAACAGCATTATAAGTGGGACAAGAATATGGTTTCAGATCCCTTTGGTCAAGGTCAACTTGTTTCTCGGTTCTTATTGCTTCCTGTACAGGGGATTGGTAGGAACTGTTGGTGAGAGCTTTGTGGACATTCATGGGAACGTGGTGGGGTGATGACTTAGGGACCCAGAGCTTGGAACTGTGAGTTCGAGTGGTTTGGCTCAGCCGGTCACTCCCACAGAGGACTGCATTAGCCCCAGCGGGGAGCTGGTGCTGAAGCAATGAAGCATGAGTCAGGTGGGTGAAATGGTCTGTTTTGGTATTTTCAGTAAGTAGAGGCTGCTGTTTGTGAGGAGCTGTGTGTGCAGACTGCAAATAGTCTCTATCACAGTTGGAAATGTGGTGATTCATTGTGGTCACTGTGTTTCTACCACCACTTGTTTTCTTCTTTCTGACTTTTGGGACTCCTCCTTCTTTCATAGGGCTTTTTGTTCCCTTTTTCTTCCTGGGCTTCGACAGTCCACGGCAGGCAGTCATGTCATCTTCCTTAGCCCCGTATGCATGGCATGGGGAAGAAATTCAGTCCCCTGAGCACTGTTTGTTTCTGTTTTTCATCTGCCAAGCATCAGTAACCTGTATTTGTGTCTCCTGTAGATAGCCTGTGAGAGGCTTGCAGCTGCTGGGGAGTAGCTGCAGCTCCTAGGAGGCTGCCTGTCTGTCACGACTCCTTCTCTTCCTCCTGCTAGGCAGGTTGTGCATCTGTGGGTCAGAGAAGAATAATCAGGATTTGAAACAGGTTCAAAGGAAACTTGGAACATAAAACTTGGCAACATCACCCAGGCAATTGGTGCTAGAATCTGACTAACTCCATTCTCTCGGGCGCTCTGCCAGTCTCTGCTGTGGCCTTTGCATATTTTCAGGCATAGACAAGTTAAAATACTAAAAAATATTTTGCAGTCTGCCACCATAAGCAGCTGAAAGATTGAGTGAACCCCTTTAATTCAGGACTTTAAAGCATGGTAAGCACAGCCTTCTTTTTTCTTTTTTTTTCCCAGTATCTGCAGAGAGGGCATTTCAGAGGTTCTGAACTCAGCAGGGCTCTACTTCCAGGCAAAGCCAAGAAACTTATCTGGCATGTTCTCCCATGGTTGCCCCAAACACCTCCCTTCAATAAGAAGTCCCACATGGAAAATCCAGCTATGTGTCTCACCTGGAAGTTTGATAGTTATAGTTTAAATTTTCTTAAAATCTATCATAGCTTAAAATAAAATGTTGAATGACTTGAAAATATTTCTTCATTCAGCTGGCAAAGCCAAAAACTTTGACCAGCACTGGCAGGAAAACAAGCGAGCAACTAGAAGAGCAGCTCTGGGGGCTGAAGAAACATTCCAAGCAAAGAAATATGAGAGCCAAATGTACAAATGGCCCAAAGTTTATAATACTGACTCAATAAAGCAGCCTCAACTGTAAACATATTGAGGAAGTGACCCATCGATACCAGTGAACTAAATTAACTTGAATGCATGGATTCAGCTTATGAAATTAGCAACAGCTTATCCCTGGCACAGACTTGCCATGGCTAGTGAGCTGTTACTGTAAGCATTTATTATGACCGTAACATGGAGTAAAGGTAAACAGCACAGGGCTGCCTTATCGGTGGAGTAAGAGACATGATGGAGAGACAAACTGGAGTGCTTGGGAGGCACATAAAGATAGTGAACGTAGCTGGCAGCCTGTTAAAGGGGGCTTTAGTATTTACCAGATGGCTCTTGTACCTACTCAGGCAGGAACTGAAATTATGCTATGCTATTCTATTCTATTCTATTCTATTCTATTCTATTCTATTCTATTTTATTCTATTCTATATGGTGACCAGCAGCACGCGCTGCTCTTGAGATACTAACAGCCTGATAATGAATGGTGCCTCACTTCCAGGCAACTCCGTAATTTCACAGCAATTCTGGATATTGCCATCATACTCGCATTTCCCACCTTTCGGCAACAGCATGACCCCCTTCTGCTGGTCATTCAACTCAACCCTACTGCCTGTCAACCAACACATGGCCCCACAGGCTGTTGCATTACCTCCCTCCTCCCATCCCTCAGAGCTTCCAGCTTTTAGGATTTTACCTGTTGAATGCAATGCACTCTCTGCTTCTTCCTCCAGTGTCTGTTGTTCCTCACTGCTGAGGTCCAGAGGTTTTGGCTCTGTAAAACGAGCCAGAAGGTGCAGAAAATCTGGCGCAGTTCTTGGAGAGGATGAAGTTAAAGTCTTCCAGGTCACATGGCTTTTTATTGCTGTGGCTGATGTTCGGGTTGATATCCCATTTCTCCAGGCTCTCAGAAACTGGCAAATCCTGTGGCTGCCTTACTTTTTATGTTCAGTTCATATCTGCTTGTGTATTTTCTTTGTTTCAGAGTACACTCAGGAAGCTGGTCTCAGTTTGGCATAAAGTGCTCTTAGTAACTACTTCTTCTCTTACAGATTAATTATTCACCAGAAGTGGATGATGACTAGCACTAGTAGAGAGTAATACCTGATATTTTACTGAGGATGCTGGCACCTACTTGATTAGAGTTTTGTACTGTGAGATAAGTAGCAAAGGGATAGGTACAGAGGGAGTAAACCGACAATGCCACCAAGTTCTGACAAACAGCCCTACCAAGCACACCTTGAGGTCCTGCTAAACCCATTGGCACAGATACTGCTAGTTGATCATCACTACCTAAGAGTAAGACCGAGCTATCAGCTTCATGCAACCTGTCAACCTTGCCAAAGTTTGCTCGCACACCTGACTGAAAGAGATCAGCAGAATGTTTTGCTGGCAGGCAGGAGAGCCCTGGGGGTGGAATCTGCCACTTAACAACCTGTTTAAAAATTGCACGGATGGGCACGATACCAGCCCAAGAGATTTAATCTCTTTCACATCTCCTGTTGCACTTATAAATGAAATCTTAAGCCTACAGATTAATCAGTTTGAAGAACAAGCAAGGGAAGCAAATGGAAAGACATATTAATTAGACGTGAAGTGACCTTACCTATTAAGGTATGAAATACAGCAGCTACAGCGCCAGCCACAACCATGCACAAAACTGCTTTGGTCCTGTCTCGCTTGCTGTTCACAAACACCAGACCTACATTTTTGAAGTCACTCATCGGACCCGTGAAGAACTTCATCAGGGAGTATGCCAGCCCATAGCTGGCCAGCATTTCCACAGCATCTTCCTTGACAGCAGCAATGCCCCTATTCAAGGCCTGTTGAAACACAGAAATAAAGAGCAAATAATGTAGCACCAAAAATGTAGTGTACCAAAAACAATCTTCTGCAGCTGGTTTCTGAAGGAACAAGCAAGTTCAGCTCTCACTGTTTTCACTCTGAGTTGGACCTTATTTCTCTGGGCTCAGCAGCAGTAACTTGTGACTGGTGACAAAGGCAACTTCATAATTTCATATGGACAGTAAATTGAAGTCAAGCAGACTTGACGATAAGGTAAATGTCTATTTCTAAAGCATATAATGGAACTCCTGCTATACCAGAAGTCAGTCTCTTTCCTTTTTAGAGTAATTTTATGACCTGCTAATAATCATGGATGACACAAGACCACTTAAATACCGCTTTGAGGCCTCAGCCCTGAATTGAACAAAGCACAGTCCTTGCAGGCTACCTTTACAGGTAAAAACTCTGACATTATTATATGCTGAAATTTCCGGAGCTCAATTTTTTTTCAGTGTAATGAGCTTTTCACTACGTCCCATGTAATTGTTGTGAATAGCTGGTATTATCCTATGATTTTATTATGAAATTAGGCCAAATATACACATGACTAAATATAACTGTTATCCTTTCATGTATTTCACAAGTTTCTGATCCTATATTAATTTATATCTCCTTGTAGCATATTTAAAAAGAAATACAGCACATGTATTTCAAGATGTATTCAGGTTCAACTGATCTACTAATTCATTCTAGGTCTGTATTTAGGACATGTCTGCCAATAAAACACTGAGAATTAGATGGTTTATTTTTATAACTTAAGATGAACCATAGAAAAAATGTGTAACATTGCTTCAGATGCCAGCTTGCACCAAAATGCTTCTAAAATACTGAGTAAAAATGACAGAATGATAAATTTTATCTGCAGTGTGACAGCATCAATCATCTGGTACACCCAGCAAACTGTTAAAACAAGATTAGATTCAAAAAGCATGAAGGATGAAATACGACTTGTTTTCACAACTGTTTAGTTCCTACGGGTTACAGCTAATGTGTGTGGACAGGGCCATGGCAATGAGGCCAACCAGGACCATCTCGCCTACCCACCCTCCAAATCTCAGTCTATCCACTGACACAGCAGTTCTAATACTGCTTTTTCTGAATGAACAAACCAGGCAGAGGATCATCAGGTAATCATGAAGTCCTTCCATTTCAAATGTAAGCATAGTCTTTCTGCTGCAGTCTTTTGACTTCTTTTTTTCCCTTCCAAAGACCATATAAGCAACCAACTCCCATTGACTTCAAAAGAAACTGCATCCCCAAAGCAGAAATGAGCATTTTTCCTACTGTTCTTTTCCATTCTTTTTGTGAGACATGCTTAATTTTTGAAACTAAACTTGCACTGTCAACATAGCAAAAAGCTGTAGAAAATACCAACTTCTCCATCCTCAGTATCTGCCAAATCTCTCTCTCACAATCTGCTCCAACCTGAACACCTGAGGCTCCAAATGTTTTCATCTGTCTTGCTTCAGTTTGTCCCTTCCTGAAAATACCACGTTAGATATGGAATATCTGCAGCTGGCATATGCAACCTTTTCTGGGGTACAGATATTCCACCTATCCATCAATTAAGAGTCCAAATTATATTTAAAGTGCAGCTGCCAAAACCACTAGTGGGTGCATAAAACCGTACTCAAGCAATTTGTGGAAAAGACTGTGGCCTCTGAAATCAATAGTCATGTTTAGCCATCTTCTGTGATGATGCTTGTGATGATGATGTAATCAATATCAAGGTGTATACAGAGTTATAATCTTTTCATTTAAACTTCCTAAAGATGCTGAATCTCCCTGTTGCTGTCGCCAGTAATAGGCAAATAGCCTCAGATTATGCCATATAGAGGGTTCCTTGATCGTGGCTTCCCCCCTTTTTTCTTTTGTAAACAGTGAAATATTTCTGGCAGCTTCAATTTAAAAAGAAACAGCTAACCAATTCCAGGTAGCCTCGTTTAAAAGCTTCTCGTCACATGTAAACAGCTGAATTCTTTCCAGCACAGTTTCACAAGCACAAGTGCTTCCTTCCTGGTTTGGACAACTACTGAATACCCAAGTCTGCGGAGGACGGTACTCCACTTCTGACAAGGTCCCTGGGATAAACGTGGCTTTAAGAAATCACATTCTGTCAAGAGGCACGGCACTATGATCCCTTTGCAGAAAGACAAAGCTTTGCCAAGCGCAGTCCTCAAGCCAGCGAAACCAGCTCCCTGTGACTTTGGTCCTGGGGTAACTAAGTTTTCCACCTCAGTAGGACAGACAGAAAGACTTGAGCGCTCCTCTTGCTCTCCCTCTCTGGTTTTACAGGCTGAACTCTGATCTCTTTTGTATGAGCAAATGACAGCCAAGTAGATATTTCTGAGTAATTTTCCCCAGAGACGCACTGTGTACCAGGTAAGGGAAACTGGCAAATCCAAAAGGGACTTTTATAAGAGGTATGTTGCCATTAATTTATGCTCCTGTGGAATGGTTGGCTGACATGATGAAATACTCTAGAGGCTACCCCCGAAAAAGCAATCTTCCTAAATGCTTTTTTGGAAAGATCCTTAGGAAATGAACAGTCAATAGGGCTGTGTACAGATGGTTTAGCTTTGGTAGCTTTCTTTTTCCTTTTTCACTTTAAGATGACAACGCAAAAGGTTTTTCATCCTCAACTTCCAAACGCTATATGAGAACTTGTGTAGCTTTTCTACTCCATGTACCTTAGAATATTTTTGTTACTGAAGCTGCTGATATCCTTAAATCCACAAGAAATCCCAGATACTTGATAAAGCTGCTTTGGGGTGCAATAGGAAAGACATGGGCACTTGATCTTTCACAGCATGCCAGCCATGCAGTTGGTAATCCTCCAGTCTAATTTCCTGTTCAATTTCCAATTAAATCTCTCGTAAAGGAAGAAAAATATAAACCAGGGCAAGGTCTCCCATTTTTTTATCTGAGTCTATTTTGTACACTTTTTGTGTGAAAAAAAATCAATAACAAAAATTCATCAGTAGCACCTGTACTCCATGCTTGTTTCACACACAGCAGAGCATATCTCTACAATGATTTGCATAGCTTGTCAACAAAATCACACGCAACTAGAAAGTAATAATAATAATGACACTACTTAATACGAAAAGTTAGCTTCATCATACGTATTTCAGATGTCATCCTACTTTCAGCTGTCTTATTCACACCAAACTTGAAGGGAGAACTAGAAAATCTAGATGCTGGAAGAAAGACTATTGATGATGGCACCTTCTCCTGAGTTTTTAATGATCACCTGACCTAATACGGCAGTAGGTGAAAATGGTACAGTAAACTGCTATTCATCAAATGTGATTAAAACAAAGCCACTGACATTGCTGACCCTTCTTTTAGAAATAACAGAAAAAAGCACAGAACACTTCCAAGCTGAGCATGATCTGGTAGGTACATGAACAGGTTAGCTGAAGTAAATCATATTCCTAAAACACTTCTCAAAAAGGCAGGCACCAAGATCTACAGCTACTTCTATGCTGTGTCTTCTATAACACATTATGTTATCACTAGAAAGATGAAATCTTTACTAGAGGACCCGGTAACAACCCCTTCAGCCCTTTTTAATGAATAATTGTGTGCTGTCTCTAAAGTTCACCAAAATCAGAGAGGACAAGCATTTTTAAATTCCCATCCAAAAGATTCAAGTCAGTGGAATACCAAATAATACACTTAATGACATTTCAAGCCAGTAACCACATCTTTACAATTGGCTACTCCAGCTGGCTTTGTCCTCTTAGAAGGAACATATGAGACTTCTATCAAATTTCTAGGACATGCACAATGGATGACTCCAACAAACTTTTGCATGCAAAGGCAGTGATTTAAAAAGCAACAGTTGTGAGAAAAATGTCAAGGGTCTAGCTTGTCCTATTTTGCATAAGCTTTCACCACTATTCAGTAATGTTGGCAGAAGAGGTTTGTTTCCAATCTACAGCTACACACCTCTGTTGCCAAAAATTCAAAGTCCATCTCTTAAACTGGTTCTATAGAGTTTGACCATTTCCCACATGATCCTCCCCTCCCAGAGACTACTGGATGACTGATATTGTATTTTGTATTGGATTAGACATAGAAAACCATAGCAAAATCCACTAGGAAAGCCATGCCTAGTGTATACTTTTTCCCCTGCTTTTAAACATGTTTTATTACCTACATACTGCATAGAATTTCAGTAGTCTATATCTAACTAGAAGGGCACATTTTCTACTTCATTTGAAGTTAACTATTGACTACACAGTCAATACTTGACCAGGGCACATGTTTCAAGTAAGAGCCCAAAAATCCTCAATTTTGCTTATCCTGGAAAAGCAGACTGTGACCTAGTGGAAGCTGGCATGTTCCTATGGCTTGTCTGAAGCTGGGATTCTGCCCGAAATGTTTTCAAGTCTGCTCTAGCTAGTTATCTACCTCAGGGTGACATGAAAAACCTGCTCAGTTTGGCAGTAATTTGGCCAAATGTACGTTCGGTCCAGCAAACACTTGTAACGTGCTCCCCCTCCCTCTACATCTTTCTTCCTACCTGCCCTCCCCTAAGAAAATGGAAGAGAGCCAAAGCATCCAGTTGAAGAGCAAACTGACGCAGGCGACAGTCTTTCTCCCGCGTCAAAATAATCCCTCTCCCGAGTTTTCATTTACTAAATCCCGTCACACTGAAATCTGCGGTATCAAATGAACCCGCTAGCTCTGGCTGTTCGGCCTCTCCCTGTCACGGCTGCACTGCCAGAAGGACGCCGGCCAGATCCGATGCTCTGCAAGCACGGCACAGCCAGGACGCCGAGTCGGTGCGACCCCGGCGTTATCGCATCTGCGCCTCTGCTTCTGGATGGGTTTCTCGTAAAGGCAGGAGCCACTCGTAGGCAATTTGAGGGAAACAGCTAGTGCTCCGAAACAGGTCTGTGTAAGACTTCCATGGACATAGACATAGAAATGGGAGAAAACGGGGTGAAAATAGCATGCATGCATTTATTCTGGCTCAAGAAGACTGCCTAAACATAGAGTATGAAGAGATAGCCCTGAAGGGATAGAGGGGAGTCTGACCTTGTGGCTTGAAAATGATCACTGAGGATTGTTCATTGTTTTGGGCCTTTTTTTTTTTTTTTGGTTTGGGGGTTTGGTTTGGTTAGTTTTGCAACGCTTTTACCCTAATTCAGTATGTCTAATTTTGGGTCAGCATCTGTCGTAGATCATGTGTCAGATGACTGAAATGCCATCCGAGGTCAATTCCTATTAGCCCATTCCCCCCTGCTCCCTTACTAAAGCTGGCCGTAAGAGAACAGCCAGTCACCCCCGTCCACAGCCTGGCAAGTGCTGACACTGGTTCAAATCCTAAATAATCCCAGCCCCCAGCACAAGACCGCAGCCCCGAGCCCCGGCCTGAAGGAAGAAGAGATGCCCGTCCTGAGGGAGGGACGGACACCTGGACACCGCCATGGCGTGTGGCCTATCTCTGGAGAGGCCATCCTTGGAAGAGCATTACAGCATTCCCTGAAAATGAGAGCTGAAGTTCTTCTGTCTCTTGCTGCCTCGTAATTCGAAAGAAACTGCACATGCAGGGCAGGTGTCATGGTTTTATCATAACAAAAAGTTAGCATACTGAAATTTCAATCACCGGATTTGCTCTGCCTGCTTAAGTAATGAGGACATGGCCTAGAAGAAAGCCCATACGCCCTGTGAAACAAAAACCAGGCCATGAAAACTAGAATGCAATCAGTAGCAATTTCTTCCGCATTCCCCTTCCTGAGCAGCAATGAAAAGGAAGAATGAACATTTTTGCAGGATTCCTACTCTTATGTGAAATACCTATTACTCTGTGACCACAATCAGGATCTCAGTTTTACTTGTAGACACTATCCACTCACTATCCAACGCCAAGGCTGTATGAAAGGGTATCCTGGGAGAAGTTTAAATAAAGACTCTAAATCCAAAATAACATAATTTTAGAGCGCTCGCAGCTTTCACTTGACCTGGGAGACACCAGGGAACAGCACATTTTAACAGGCACGGCCAGGAGGCGTAGGAATAACTAGGGCAGCAGTGGCAACAGTGAAGTCGGTGAAAATGGGAAATCCTTCCCACTGCAAGAACTAAGGCAGAGGAGGACGTGTTGGGGAGCTGGAAGAGTAGCTATGGCCTGTGTGTAGACTCATGAACAACAACCAGTACCACAAGGCAGAGAATAATACAAAAACCCACAGGAGACTGTAGGAGATAGTGGTGCAGGACCACAGGAAAGAAACCAGACTCAGTGAAGCCAAACCGTGCCTCATTTAAAACTACATTTGACCAAGTGCCAGAATATTTATGACAGGGAGCAGGCTTGGAGAGGTGAATCAGTTGCTGCAAATAGTTGCCTCCCCATGGGACGTGGAGAACACTCATCCCAAAGGCAAGAGAGCTACGAGCCATGATGGTGGGAAGCCCTTCAGGACACGTTCCCCGGGTAGTGTCTATTAAACAGAGATGGCTGACGCCTGTATGAAGGAGACCTAAACCACTGCCATTTCCACTGATGGCTGTGGAGAAACCCATCTGCTGAGGTGAGACCATAACCATTAAGTTTTCCTGGCTTTTTCTGAGGCAAGCAATGCTTGTAGGGGCACAGGACAGAAGCAACATCAACATGTCAGAGACACTCCCCTGCATTATGACTTTCCTGATACCCCTCTGGCTGATGCTAATCAACCGTCCAAAATGTATTTATGGTGAAACTCGCAACGGAATGCTTTGCTCTCGAAGCAGGATGTGAGCTTTTCATTCAGGTTTCCCTGGAGCTCATCCACAAAGGTGAGAAACATTTGTGATTACGTTACAGAAGTATGGCAAACTCCAGGCTGAGGTTATTTCTCTTCAGACCTTCTTCACGTGGAGGCCAGAGACTCGTTTTCTCTCAAAAGCTATTTCTGTTTCTAAGTCTGCGAGTGTAGACAAATAAAATTGAGACATAGAGACACATAAAACTAGGAGAAGGTCGGCTCCCTGTCTCTTCAAAATGCCCTGTGGAATAGCTATAATTTCTTCACCAAATTCCATTTTGATTACTTTTTAAGTGCTAGAAAACACTGGGGAGGATACAAATGCATATCACATATATCTACACACAAAGAATATTTGCCTTAATCACAAGTGATACAGCATCTGCAGCAGTGGTCCTTCTTTTGTTTTTAATTTCTGCCAGAAACAGTCTCTGTTCTACTCCTCACCCCCAAAGTAAAAAGTAAGCTGATTTACTATCAGTTGCATATTTCATAAAATCGCATTTTCTCATGTTTATAAATTAAATCTCTGCAAGGACTGTTGTAAAACTTGTTTGCATGCACACAGCAAATTTAATCTACACAGGTCCCATACCTGCGAGTCTCGTCACAACTCCGGCACATTGCCTTTTCGTTAGCATTAACTCAGTCTCTGCTGAAATACTCCTCGCAGCTCTCTCCTGAAATGGAGATCGCCATTTTCTCCGTGATCCCACCTTCTCACCACGCTCCAAGGCGCACAGACGGGTTCGGGTTGGAAGGGACCCTTGGGGGCCAGCTTACCCCGGGCTGAACGCCTGGGAGATGTGGTGGGGGAGACCCCACACCTTCCCTGGGCAACCACCCTGAGAGCCCACCCTCACCCTGAACCTTACCACGTAACCAGAACCGGCATCTGAAGATCCACGGCCATCTCCCTTGCACATTAAAACACGCTCTCCTGCCAGTGACAGCCACGCTGCTAGCATCGGCCTGAATCTCCATTTCCCGCATTTCCCCTTCCTCTCCTGAGGGATCTTTTGCTTCATCACTCAAGTTGTATTTGTTTCTTTTGTATTTCTAAGTTCATGCATTGCATATGAAACTACACGTTTGCTTTCTCACTTTTCGCATATTATAAGTAGTTCTCTTAAGTGGTATTTTTTCACATAAGGTCACCTGAGACTCCCAATTACAAGATCCTGTATCTAGTGTAAGTCCATTTTTATCTCTTAAAAAAAACAGCCTAGGCAAAGACTCAAACCGAGAAAAAAAAAAATAATCCAAGCAAATACTTTCACGCATCTGCAAAAATACTTTTGCCAATTGGAAGAATAAGGGAAATTAATGAGGCTTGTCCCTGGCTTTGTAGATTTTGTAACCATTTTCCTTAAACTTTACATGTTAAAAAAACTTAATGCATGCAGCATGAAAACTTCTGAAATTTGACAGAGGCTATCAAAAGTGCTTTTAAAACGGACCAAAACTTGGCCAAGCATCTGCAAAGCATGAGTTGCACAGCTTCAGTAGAACTTGTTAAGCTACTTTAACTGCACAGAAATCTTGTCTGTATTTCAGCTGTGCCCAAGTGTGCTCCGGGGCATTAAGTTTAGAGCAGCAAAGGTCAAGCACCACAAAACAGAGACCGTATAGGTTCAAGTCCTTACGGTACAAGGAGACAAGGAAACACTACCTAACACTACCTGTATCATTCGCTCAGAGCAAAAGGGAAACTATTTCTCTTTCTGTGGACTGAAGTACTCTACTAAGACTTCTTTCTCCCAGGAATTGTGAGGTGGTTTATTTTCCTATCTTAGCTCTTCTGGAAGGGACCCTGGAGGCCAGATCTGTAAAATTTGCTTTTATTGCTTCAACTCTCTTATTTCTGTACACTTTCCACTCTCTGTTAGTGATTAAGATCCCATGTCCTCCTACTTGGAAGACAAATAATTGGCATTTCCTCTCAATTTCCTTTCCACGTGGAATTTAAGGGATGTAATAATTATACCCAGCAATCTCTGCAAGAGCCAACAATCAATTCAAGGCTGTCAATACTGCAGCAAAATATTTTAGTATCATCACACGTACTATCCTACCACTTCACGGCTGCTCTAGAGATTACCCTACTCCTGCTATTGTTTAGAGTTACTAATTTTGGCAAAGCCAGAACTGGTAGTCAGCTGGGAGAGGTGGGTTACTTCGTTGGAGTATAGCCACGCAAAGAGGTATTTTGGGGTTTGGTGTAACAAAGAAGTGGAAGCCTCCCAAGATGGATCTCCTGTGAGGGGAACTTTCTGTTAAACCAGCAGCTGATCCCTTTGGGAAATAAATCCTTGGGACACTTAGTTCAGTGGTAGATGTCCAGGCTGTTTTATTTGCAGAACATGGTGAAGTTCAGCCTCAGTGACAATGTGCAGGATGGGACCAAAATGGTTTCAGGTAACGGGGCTGTAAGGGAAGACACTCCCTGTGCAAAACTAGATTTTTTCCTTAAATCATTTTCAGACATGACTAAAGCGCAAGTTAGTTACTCAGAAGTTGAAAATGCCAGAATTAGGGGGGACCACCTTTTTGGTGTCTGCCCCTTGTTCCCCCCCTCCTTCCCGCAGTGTGGTTCACAAACTGCAACCCCTGTGCCATCAGTGGAGCTCCCCACGTCATTCAGAGCTCCCTGGAAGTATCATCACGTAGGTCTGCTAGGCAAAATATGTAAAGCTACCGAGTCTCTGCCATTGAATGAACATGACTTGTACGTGATGAAAGGCTAAAGCAAACAGAAGCAAGTGCCTGCAGGTTTTGTTCATTCGGCTTGGGTAACTGTTCGCTCTCTCCCTGCAGACGGGAGAGGTAAGGACCCTGCTGAGCAAATACGAAAAATTCTTGACTTGTCATATGGCTGGGCTTAGGAAGAAGAAAGGCAAATAATTGCAGTTGGGTCTTTCATCCTCCTCAGTACTGCACTATGTCAAAAAAAAAAAAAAAGGCGCAATCTATAAAGTATATGTCAAAGCTACCACGATTACAAAAAATACACATAACCATCAAATAAGGCTTCTGTGCCTGACTTAAGAAGTGGGAGCTTGCCCAGCTGTCCCTGAACGTGTAGTACAGCGCTAGCTTTATGTGTACTTAGTGCACTATGCAATTATCAGCTGTCCATTAGCTTACTCTTAAAGCATTTACCTCCCCATGTGGCCCAGCACGGACTCGTTACTTATGTTCTAGGGCTCTGCCTAACTTCAGCGGAGCAGAACATATTTGAGGTCTCTGATTTTCATCAGCTGTTGTGTCAGGAGCCGGGAGCACGGCTGGTTAAGTTCCGTCATTAAGCAGCTGCTCCCTCCAGCATGCTGCCGGCTAGGCAAAGCATGGTTTGGACCACACAAAGCAGAGTTTGTTAGGTGTGAGTGCCTGCGACTGCAAGTGCAGAGCTGCCAGATTAGCTCGTGTCTTAATTGCTTAGGAGCGACAAATAGAGGGCACCCAGATCACCAGCCTAAATACAAACTTGGGAGTTTCCGCCGCTGGAAACACCCACCGTAAACAAAGTCCGTAACGCCGGTAAGAAATCCTTTTGTTGGTACCTGGTTTTCTTTCCCTTCCACTCTTATTCTTTGTACCAGCTTTATTAGGATGAGATTAAAGTTATTCAGTCGAATTGGAAACAAACCGTGGATAGTGACAGTGATTTCCTTTCTCTAGGGCTGGTGAATTTACTGCAAAACACGCTTTGAAGCGCTTCTAGTTATTACAGCACCTTCCAATACTCCAATACCTGCAGAAAGCAATAGTCTCACTAAACTGGTAATGCTGCCTCTAGAATTTGACCTAATGTATCTGTTTAAAATAAATGGGATGTGGGTGGTAAAGACATGGGATTGAAAGAAGAACAGGCAGACTTTCTGCAAAGTAATTTTTTTTTTTTTCTCAGAAAAGCTATCCTTCTGTGCCCCCAGCCTAAGTTTTGAGAACCCTGAATTTCTCTCCCGGTTCTTGCAGGTGGTGTTGACAGGATTGGCTAACACTTCCTTTTAAAAATAGCTCGACTGGTTCTCTCGGTATCCAATGACATAAAGTCAACAAGTCAACTCACAATGAAATTATTGCACGTGGGTTTTTCCAGGTGGTGGGTGTACGGAGCACAGGTAATAAAGTTTCTCTTGAAATCATGCGCTCTTTTTGAAACCCCCTATCTTTCACAAGGGGAAGCACAGTAGTATTTCTACACAAGCAAGGCTGAAAATACCCTCGCTGACCTAGAAGAGTGGGAGGCCATGGGAGAACCTGATTACTGTTGCTTATGTGATCTCACAGCAGCCAGGAGCCCAATTGCTGCTGTTACAATAAATGGCTTTCTGTGATAAGGGAAGTACAGGTAAAATACCAATTAATCTGAAATGCAGTCAGGCTAGATATGCTCTGTCCTTACTGGATTCGATAATAAAGGGGAGAACTGGAAAAGGTATCAATGCTTCCAGCTTTTCCTGTGTACGTCTTGGGAACACATCAGTTATGGAGGGAGACAAAAAAAGCATTCTTTCTCAATATACTGGGACACACAAACCCTAGCGCCAGGGGTTCACTGGAGTTACCTCTAAATGCCTGGAAATAAATAATCCTGTTACATCTTCCCCAAATCCTTGGCTAATGCTTCTACTCAGAATTCCTTAAGCAGCACCTAGGCAGCCTTCTCCTCAGAGAAGAAGAGACTTGGAAGCACCCGTGGAGCTGTAGCAAGCCTTGTAACTTTTATTTCTATATGTCTGGCAGGGGTGAGTCTTAACCAGACTCAGCGGGGGTTGTCAGTGCAGTCACAAGTGACTTTGTGAATGTTCTTGATTATGCCAAATGTGGGGAATAATTTGATGCTTAATCTAATTTCAGGTGTCTACCCCTGGGTTCACAAAATCCAAATTAAAAAAAATAATAAAATTTAAATCTCTTCCAGATGAAGAGCAGACCAGACACACAGTGGATGGGTCCTTCCAGTAATTGAGGAACTGTAAATGGTGCTGCAGTAATTCTTCAATGGGTTCTGCTAACAGCATCTCTACACACACCTTCAGCAACAAGCACCTGCCATCACAAGACACTTTACATATAAGCTCAATGCTCTCTTAGCCTTGTGCCTACACCAAATTTAACTCCAAGCTTAAAACTATCTTTACTGATATCCTTTCTCATTCTTGCATTCCTTATGACCTGATGCAATGATCCTTTCTTATTCAAAGTGATACTTTCAATAGCAATGAACATTTTTCTACTAACCCACTCCTTCTAACTCCTCGACTTGAATTGCATAGTTAAAACTTATTAGCTCATTTTCATTTGTTTTACACAGGCACAAGACCCTGACTTGTTAAGTTCAGTAAAAACACTGAGGGATTCCCAGAAGCTTAAGTGAAACTGATGCTGAAACATCACAGTGCAACAGGTAATTTGCCTAGTAGGTTCTCTGCCTGAGTCACTGGTTTTAAATAATGGATTTCCTTACTCCTGGATTTCAAAAGTGGTAAGAAATGCAATGAAGATAGACTCTCCACCACTCCTTCACAGTAGTACTCTACACTGTGCAGAGGTTTCACTGGGAGAACAGCCTCCCCTCGCAGTCCCCCCACCCCGAGACCAGTCTCGTTCTGCTTTCTGAGTCCCCTAACACCCCATTTCCACAAAGTCAGAGGAAATGCAATCTCTTTTCTATGTTCTCCACACCTGGGGTTTTTTTTTGTCCTCTTGCTGATGTGCAGGGAACTAGACAGGATGTAAAACATTAATTCAGCACAGCTAACATTTATCTCTGAGCTGCTTTAATATGAAATACAAAATTGGCTTCGGATGGGCATTCTGCCAAGATTCTTACCAAGGGGGAGAGAGTCGAGTTGAGTGTCACACTATTGCTGTTGTGGGGATTGAAAAATTGAGCTGGCTTGCTTTGATAGCGTAGTATGGCCTATAAGCTAGTCTTACTCAGTGAATTCTGCACCGTGCTTCTCTGTCTACAAGAA